TCATAAAAGACAAATTTTGGCCATCAATTATTCTACTACGAAAAATACATTACCCTAAATAGGATCCTGTGGTACAAAAGATGCATTTTGCAATGCCAGAAACTTTGGGAATCCGAAGGTGATTCTTGTTTTTCATGTGCATCCGTAGACGATGTCAAAATTGTTTGGTCGAGACACCCACAGTGTCAGACTGGTCTTAACTTATCATTGGAACAGTAAATCATAAACCAAAATTACTACGGTGCTTGTTTTTGTTTGAATTCACAATTTTCGAGTAGCAAACACAAAACTTAAAGCACACCTGGTAAGTAATGAAGTCAAATGTTGGTGAGAGCATTACTCTCAAGTGTCAAGTAAACCCTTAATAATAAACTAAGGATAAAAGTACACAAATAGCAATCAAAATATTTTCACATAAATGTTAGGACCAAATGATATCCATAACTGACACGTTCCTTGGAGTAAATGCCACAAGGGGACTCAGAGGTACTCCTTCCGGATGTTCTGCCTTCTAGAAAGAGGTGAAGTGAGAACCTTGTGGACATGGAGAACTAATTCGACCTCGATAGGCCCTAACCAAGATTCAGATCCACAATTTGTTGTGGTAAAGATAAAAGTATAATCATCAGAATTAAGTTGCTCGTTTTCACATCAGTTCTGTTGTGATATTAAACGGATAAAAACTCAAAGCTCAAAGGATGGAGTTAGAAAAAAACGTTTCTCTTTTAACACATCAAGATGTCCTGACTGTGAAGTGATCGGGAGACTCCATAGTGGATTAAGAGGTCTCTCTTCTTCTTCTTCTTCTTCTTCTTCTTCTTCTTCTTCTTCAGTAACGCTATCGTTGTTTCAGGCTACCCTTCATATCTAACCTTTTTTTTCATCTAACGATACATTTTACTGGTCATGGCAAAATAGTTCTAAACGATGCACCTTGCTTATTTCATGTTTTATGTGCACACGATTGTCCTACTAATTCAACTTCGCAACGAGGTGGAATGTCAAATGGATATTTTTCACCCATAAAATGTCTTTAAAAGCTTATGCTCAGTGCGAAATGCATTATTCGAAGGGCTAAACGTTAATTTAGTTTAAAAAATAGTTCGTACAACTCACAACGTGCATGAAATTAGGTGAAACTGAATAACACTTCATAATTTTAAATGCAATTAATCAAGATTGCTATGTCAAGGTCGTGTTTAGCTGCCCCAGTAGAACAGGTAACTAGTTTTAGATGAATTATTGGATTACGTGGTTTGGTAGCTAAATTTTTACGAAGCCTTAGAATGGTGTGCTTCTCCTTCCAACGTACGTAGGCGGGTTTAAAGCTCTACTGATTAAGCGTTGACGGGATTCGTGTATGCAACCATTTGACCACATGTTAAATGTGAATTTAGCGTGACGGGGTCTGAGGGGGTTAAATTCGATGGGCGTTTATTTGAATTTTAACCGCAATTTGCACATTAAAAGCTATTTTCAGGCGTGTAACCAAACTTGAATAAAACTGTGAAAGTTGTGCTCCTGAATATAGGGATTCCATCCAAAAATCACGCTGAACAGATATGATTTATCTTATTAAGCTTTTTCATGTGCTACACGTAATGTTGCATTTAATTAGGATTTCGAAAATGGGGTTCTAAGCAGAATTAATGAAACTGCAAAATCCCACCCGCTTTCATTCGCAAGCCTCATCAGTGCAGACGTTCTTCGGGCCTTTACCACAATCCAGTTTTATAAATCCGAATTCGGGTATGAAAGCAATCCTGCATGTTTGTTGTGACCTGGCTATTGTGCAGCATATGTTAATTTGTGCAGTTAGATGGAACTCTCGTTTAGTCTGGAGGTAAGAAGACTGTTAGGGTAGCACCAGCTAAGTAAACATCGGAATCTAACAACCAAATTGGTTTGTTTTACAGTAAGTAAAGCATGCGCCAATTTCAAAAGGGCTTTGCGAGACAACCGTGCGCATGGTGGAGTTTTGGACTACTTATCAGCAGTGGTCAACAACTTGAAAGCAACAATTAAACGACTTCTTTTATTTCGAAGTCTTGACATAAAGCCGAGGCCAAATATAAATTTAAAAAAAATTATTCAAAATGTTGGTGCCATTTTATATGTGTAACGGAAAACACTTATCCACTTCTGTTAAAATTTATTCTAAGCGCCAATCTATTTTAAAAATATGAGAATAAAATTAGTACCCCATTTTAATAACTGCAAGCCATAAATTAAAAGGCTAAGGAAATCATCCTTTGAGAATCAAAGCCAAATTTGAGAGTTCGCTGATGCTTGAAAGAACTTCCCTTTTCGTTTCTACCACCACGCGCGAATTGAGTGGCCTTCAAATAACCAATCAGGGTCCTTGTGGTAAGCGTTGAAGTGACCCAGGTAAATCCGTTTGATCCGATTGAAATGGGCTCATTTCCGAATCGAAATTCGGAGATTTTTGAGGCCCAGCAGCTTCGGGTTTTTGGTTACGCCATTTGTTGATATCAACAAATCTCTACAAGGACAAGGACAGCGTGATCAGACAAAACAAAGCAATTCCTTTAGCGTAGAACCACGTAATGAAAGCAAACGGACTCAACCAATAATGGCAAGTGTTTAAAATTCTTTGGAGAAGTTCGTAAGCAAACTTTCAAAAAAAATGAATAAACAACCAGGCATTTTCCCAGCCTCGCATATACAAATCAGTTCACCTCAAAAATTTACTCCGAGTTAGTTAAGATGCCAGTCCCTGTGAAGCTTCGGTGGCTTAGGTCATGAATTTGCGCATTTTAGCACAGATCCGAAAGGTGGTTCTGTTATGCTGGTGAAAAAAAATAGTAAAGTTAAAAAAGCGAACCACAAATTCCAAAGTGATCCGTTTTCATACTACCACTAAAAATAACCCATTAAAGGCTTCGAAAATAGACTTTTGTCCTTGGATTGACTTTACTAACCGAAGCAATTGCAGTTGGCATCTTTATGACTGACATCTCTAACAACGTACTTAGCCATAAAAGTTCAATTTCCAATCAAAAAGTGTGTTAGCTGAAGTCATACCCAAGGTGCGTAAATGTAAAAAATCAAATACGAACAACGCCTTATTGACTGCATTTTATGCCACGGAACAATTTGCCGATAAAATCAGGCCCAATTACGACTTGAACAAACCCATTATGATCACTTGAAGTGAATTGCAGCCATGTTTGAGATTTGGGTTCAAATATAGTCAGACTTCTAAAGAGCAGAACATTTTTTTGATGTTAAAATCGTTCTTCTTAATAGAAAATAAGAGGTAATTGAAATATGATTAATGCGCCATATCGGATGTTAGTATTCGAAATTTCACTAAATGGTATGCTTGTGAAAATTATTCACCTCGACCTCTCACGTCAGTTCTTAAACGAGAAAAGATGATGAGGAAAGTAGCTGAAGCGGTTTCGGTCACTATTTAATATCATTAAGATCGACACTTGACGCAAAGTGATATCGCTGACGCTTGAGTACCCCATTGTTAATTAAGGAAAATTACGGATTACAATGTCTTTAATATTGAATGCAAATAAAAACCCACGAGATATGCGCATAATCATTTTTCAGTTTAAAATTTAAAAAAAGCTTTTTACCAGAAATTCGTGAAGTATTTCAAAATCGTTATATTTAAAGGAGGAATTTTCTAAGTAAACAATTACGATGGTCAATGTTGTACAGAAAAGGAGCTAAAAATTCGTAAATTACATCCAAGTCTTGAAGCTAAGTAGCCCGAACTAAACTCCATTTAGAGAAGTTGGAAGTAAAATGACCAGTTGAAAGATAGATGACCACACACTAAAGCCTGTACCAAATAAACATGGGCAAATTCTTTGAATTTAGGACAAAGGATAGTTAGTTCCTAAGTTTACATAATAGGAATAGAAATCAACTTTTTAAAAAAGCAAAAACATATCTGAGAAGTTCAAAAAATTGTCAGTAGGAAATAGATTTTTAAAGCTGTATTTCGCACAACTTCACAATGTTTATCATCAGTACAAATGTATGTAAGAAAAACGGATGATTGACTTTTTAATGCCTTAAATCTGATATCACACAAACAATTTTTAAATGATAATGTAAAAATCAGCCAAGGGACGATGTATAAAAGCAAAATGAAGAAAAATTAGCATAAAACTCAACAAGCAAAAAATTTTGATTGAAGCAGCTACGGAAATCAAAGGTAAGAGTTGTGACGCGCGCCATTCGACCCGCGCACGCCGGTCTGGCCTGTTCTTTGTCCTCCTCTCCCTTCCCGCACTCTCGCCTTCCTCAAGGCACGCCCGTGAGTCCG